CAGCCACACAGAGTGCCAGCTGCTGGGCTGAACCCCCCTCCCCTACCCCCCCCCCCCCGCACCGTCTCACCTACCCCTAAACCACAGTTCTGACAAGCAGGTCCCGCAACTGTCCCCATCTTTCAGATCGGAAGACAGAGGCTTGATCCGGCTCAAGACCAGTGAACAGGACCCCAAGTAATTCTTGTAAGCACCTGGAAAAGGGTCAGCGAGGCCGACCTTTGGGGTCCTGATACACACCGATTTGGGGGAGGGGAGATACACTCCGAACCTGACGGCAAGTTTGGGGCTCCGACTGGTGCCTCTACCCACAGAGATCCTTCTCCTGTGACTCTCCCGGCCGAGCTGCCTCATCACATACTCAAGGTCAGTATTTGCCACCAGAAGGTCCTCTCCAAGCAGGTGGGGCTGGTCCCTCCCGTGGCCCCTGGGACCCCAATGCCTGGCCATGGTAGGCTCTCAATGAATGAGATCCATGACCCAGCTTGCATACACTCCATCTTCTCTGTCCATCTGAGGCCTCTTGCATTTGGCCTCTTCTTTGACCCCAAATCCATGAGCAGGGTGATGGAGAGGTGGCATCTCAAGCCACACACACCACAGTGATTTTTTTTTCCCCTTTTAATTACCTTGACCTTCCTTTAACCTTCCTTTGCTTTCTCTGCTTAAAGCATCGTTCTTTGGGGAATGGGTATAAGAAGGGACACTGTAGAGAATGCATACAAACTGGGTCCAGAGAACAACCCACCCTTTCGCCCCAAATGCTGACCAGACCCCAGAAGCTTCCAGATCCTGATAATCACATAACAAAAAGACAATGGTTCTGGAGGCCCCGGGAAGTATTTGAGAGGGTTCTAGAGAGCTGAAAGAGTTGTTGGGTAGTATTCACAGGCCTGTGTCCATCACCGAAGAGAGGGGAGCACCCCTAAAGGTTCATTTCGGTCTGTTCTGTGTTCAAGTCTCACACGACTTCAGATAAGCCTTCCAGAGCCACGGCAACAAGGTAACATAAGCACCCAAAAAAGCCAGAGAGGCTCACCATCGTTCACAGCAGCCTTATTAGCTGCTGTGGAAGCCCCCCAAGTGTCTATCCATAGATGAATGGATACATAAATGTGGTCCATCCACACAATGGAATATCCACCCACCAGCCTTAAAAAGGAAGTTCTGACACCCACCACAACATGGCGAACCTTGAAGTCATTACGCTCCATGGAATAAACCAATGACAAAAGTCCAAACACTGTCTGATTCCACCTCTATGAGGTCTCTAGAGGAGTCCCAAGCATAGAGACAGAGAGTAGACGGTGGTCGCCAGGGATGGTGGGGGTTGGGGGGGGCAGTCAGTGTTCCATGGGGACGGAGTTTCAGTCTGGGAAGATGGGAAAGTTCTAGAGATGAATGGTGGGGGTGTTGTTGCACAACAGTGCGAGGGTGACTGATGCCACTGAACTAGGTACTTAAAAACATTTACGATGGCAGGCGCCTGGCTGGCTGACGTGGTGCAGCATGCAACTCTTGGTCTCAGGGTTGTGAGTTTGAGCCCCACGTCTGGCACAGAGCTTACTCTTCAAAATGATAACAAACAAATAAAAATATCAAATCTTTAAAAAGAAATTTAAGATGGTGAATTTTATCTTATGTGTATTTTACCACAATAAAAGAAACTGAGGAAGGGAGAAAAAGGCCAGAGTGGAGTTGTACTCAGCAGACGGGGGCACCTGTTCAAAGAGCAATCATTTCGGGGCACCTGGGTGGTTCCGTCAGCTAAAGCTCTTGATTTTGGCTCAGGTCACGATCTCACGGTTCTTGGGATCAAGCCCTGCCTTGAGCTCCATGCTGACCGCACAGAGCCTGCTTGGGATTCTCTCTCCCTCTCTCTCTCTCTCTGCCCCTTTCCCCCCTCAGGCTCTCTCTCTTTCTCGCTCAAAATAAATAAACATTTAAACACTAAGTAAACAGGGGCACCTGGGTGACTCAGTCAGTTAAGCATCCGACTTCGTCTCAGGTCACAATCTCGCGGTTCGTGGGCTCGAGCCCCGTGTCGGGCTCTATGCTGACAGCTCAGAGCCGGGAGCCTGCTTCGGATTCTGTGTCTCTGTCTCTCTCTCCCTCTCTGCCCCTTCCCTGCTCACACACTGTCTCTCTCTCAAAAATAAATAAACATTAAAATAAATAAACAAACAAACAAACAAAAACAATCATTTCA